GCCTCTCCTTGTAACGTTTCTCTTTATTTCTGGAAAGTTCTCTACCAAAGAGCTATACCTGCAACCCTTACCCTTTCCGTCTCCTTGGGTTTTCTCTCTCCATTCCCATTTATCTCTTCTAACTTCATTCCGGACTTACGTTGTACTTAGGTCTCCTATCATTTTCTTAATGTGTTCTAGCTTGTTCTAACGGGTATACCGCAGTTCTGGCATGCTTTCATTGTCTTTACGATTTCAACCTTATATTTATTTTTTCTTTTAGTTGTTCTGTTTGGAAATTGCCCTGTGTATTTTCCTAGTGCTCATTTTAAAAAATTTTTAATTACTGAGGAATCCCAGCGCCTTCATACTGAACTACCTCCCCACCCTTTTTGTTTTTTATTTTTGAGACAAAGACCTCACTAAGTTTCTAAGTCCCTCAGACAGGGCTCAAGCTTGGGATTCTCCTGCCTCAGCCTCCCACTGGGATTACAACATACACAAGCACACCTGGTTTAGGTGAGTTTAGCTTTCCCAGATTTTCAGGACGACAATGAGATGATAGAATATTATTAATTCTGTGGCAACCCAACTTGTGATATTTTTTTTATTGTTATTTTTTCCACAGTGAGGCCCAGGGACTCCCTCACACTGGACCAGGCCCTACTGCTTGCTGGGCCATTTCTAATGTGATGTTAAAAAACTAAGAGAGAAATGCAATGTTGAGAGAGTGGATAAGAAGCTGCACAGTATTGTACGATTCAGGGCGGCCCCTGAGTACCCTTTGGACTCAGCGCCTCCAATTTTAAAGCATTTCCGATTCATTGCCTGCCATCACCTATTTTTACCTGGTGTAGGGCTCTCACCTCTTTGGTCCTGTCACTCTTGGGCAGGCTGGGGGAAAGCCATGGCCTGGTCAGTCTTCCTAAAACACATACTTTCACTGGGTCCTTCAGGTGGCAGGGAGGAGATAACTTTGCGGGGAGAGATAAACAACACTATCTGTACTTGATAATTAAAAAAAAAAGTTACATGGCGTTAACAGAACATTAACACTAAGAACACTTAGAATGGGACACAGGAGACGGAAGGACGGACGAAAGGCCATCTGGGAGTCAGGTGCCGTGGTGTACGCCTGTAATATTGGCACTTGGGAGGCTGAGGCAGGAGGATTGCCACAAGTTACAGACCAGGCTGTGCTACACGGTGAGTACAGCGCCATCCTGACCTACACAGTGAGACCCTGCCACAAAGGAACCGAAGCAACCAAAAATATAAAAATAAAGTAAAATAAAAATAAAGGCCATATGGGAACTAAAAAGCAGATGTGTACCTCAGATGGTAAACCACAGAGAATGCTGGATGGAGCGCATGGTCAGACTGCAGGGCCTCTGAAGACGGGCATGTGGCGATTTGCTCCCCCTACTTCCCTGTCATTGGAAGGCCCTTCCTCCAAGCAGGAAATCCTCTTTCTCAGTACCAGGGTGTGGCCAAGAAACCAAGGATAAAGGAAGCAGAACCCAGGAAATGGCACCTTGTCCTGCAATTTAACCCATGCTGGGCCTCTTGGCTTCTGCCCTGAAACCTTCCGGAGACTTGGAGGGCCTAGGGCCAAGCGCAGGTGCCACAAACCCACACAGCCCAAAACATGCTCTCTTCTGGGCTAAATCAGCTTTCTTCCTTTCTTTCCCTCCCTCTCTCCTCCCTCTGTCTCTCTTCATCTCTCCCTCTCTTCTTTTTTTATTTCAAGATGGGGACTCTGCATTGCACAGGCTGGCCTCGAACCCAAGACATCCCCCTGCCTCAGCCTTCCAACTGGCTGGAATGCAGGTACCAGCTTTAGATGTCACTCCTCCATTCCCATCTTGTCTACTGGACTAGGGAGAAGAGAGCGTGGTAAGGAGAAAAGGAGGCCTCTTTCACCCTTGATTTTCCTGAACTGATTTGACAGGGCCAAAGCAGCCCTCTCCTGCACAGTAATCACTGACAATGAAAAACCAACGAAAACCTGTGCTTTTCTCTTTCTTTTCAAAAGCGACAAGCCAGACTTTTGCTGGATTACAAAACACCATCACCTCAGTATAATACCTAAAGCAATTTGTGGCCTTGAGCAAACTTGAAAGAATTTGAAGGCATCAGTGGAAAGAGAAAAGGAATAAATATTTAAATGTGAATCCCTGGCCTCTAAGTACCTCATGTCCCCACTTCTGTAAACAACAGAAAGATGGAATCTAAGATTTAGAATATGGAGAGGGCAGGTCTGAGTCCCCTGGGCCGGGACAAAGCACAGCACTTTCAGGGGGTATGGGCAGGGTTGGTCCAGCAGGCCCTGCCCTGCACCCCACAGCGATCACAGGCCTTTCCAGCTTGGCAGTCCCCCAACATCCAGAACAATGCCTGCTTTTCTCTGCTCCAATAATGCTGTCTAGTTCATTAGAGACCTGTTTTGTATTCTTCATTGAGTTCAAAGCACACTGTGTCTTTCCAAAGAAATCCTATCACGCTTTGCATATTTTAAAAAAATGATCCATCTCAAATTAGTAAAGGTAGAAATGTTTTGATGAGAATGAAATAAGGTGTTCCTGGAGCCTCATTTATCTGAACATGTATTTAAAAATTTTTTATTTTATGTCTTTTTGTTTTTTGAGTAGTTCAGGCTGAACTTGAATTCACTATGCAGCCCCAGCTGGCCTCGAACTCACAGCAATCCTCCTGCCTCAGCCTGCCAGGTGCTGAAATTACATGTGTGCCCTACCACACCTGGCTAACATATATTTCTTAAAGAAAACATATGATACATGCATGAGTCCAAGTATTTCTCAGTGCACTGGGTCTCAGGGAGACAGCTGTGGGGTGGTAGTAAAGCCTCATGCTTTGCTATTCACTACTCACTCACTCTTCTAGCATATATTTATTGAGCATTTACTGTGTGTCGGAAGCACTGAGGATATACCAGTTAACAAGACAGAAAATGACCTCAACTTCAGGGTCGCAGGCAGAGGAAGCCAACCTCAAATCCATGCAAATAGAATCATTTCAGATGGTGATTAGTGGGCCTCGAACTCCTGGCAATCTTCCTGCCTCAGCCTCTTGAGTGTGTACCTCCTTGGCTGGTATGATTGGCTTTTGAAGGGGCTGCACCTGGCGCTGGCCCGGGTGGGGTGGCCAGAGCTGCCATTCACTGAGAGTGGAGATTGGGTAGTGAGAAGAGGCTGTGAGGTCCTAGGGGTGAGCAGAACGGCAGTAAGGCAGAGGTGTGGACTGGTGTGAACTGTACTATCTGCTGTGGCAAAGGTCTAATAAGAGGACGCACGCAGAAGGACACGAGAAGCCGCAGGTAAACTTGGGGGCACTCTTTGGGGATGAAAGAGCCCTTGAAGAACAGTATTCTGCATTCAGAAGGGGTAAGGGCAAGAACTACACTTTTCAGGTTCATCTTGTACTTCCTGGTTGGAAAACAATGGCAAGTCACTCAAATACAATCACACGTGGGTCCCCTTGGGGCCCAAGACACACCTTGGACAGCACAATTCCTTCTGTAGAGTGCAGACAACTTACGTATCCTCACAACCTCTAAATCTTCTCTAGACAACTTATCATACCTCTACAATGAAGATACTGAGGAGGTGGGTGCTATACCATTTTGTTTAGGGAAAACACAGCAAGGAAAATCTGTGTGACTGCTTATGGTGGTGCACGCCTGCAATCCAAGCTACTCCGGGGGCTGAGGCAGGAGGACCTTAAATTCAAAGTCAGCTTGGGCAACTTAATGAGATACTATCTCAAAACAAAACAGTAAAACAAAAAGGGCAAAGTCTGGAGTTCGATCCCTAGTACCAAAAATGAAATAAAAAGGGCAAGTATACAGCTTAGTGGGAGAGCATGCCTGAGTTTGATTCCCAGTACTTCACCCCCACAAAAAAGTCTGCCCCAGCTCGGGATTCGGTGCAGACGCAGCCATTTTCCATGCAGGGATGGTTGGACCCCAGTTAGCATGTCTCCTCCACGCCCAACACCGCGGCTCACGAACCTGGAATCCTGTTGAGTGTCACCCAGAAGTGCTCGTCGGGGCTGAAAGTGTCCTTGGACCACTGGAGCAGATCGACAGCCCGGGGATCACGCAGAACAAAGCTGGCAAACTCTCTGGACAGAGCAACATAGGCAGAGCCGAAGTAAATGGTGAGGTTGTGGGGAGGGGGCGGCTTGAGCGCCGTGGTCCTGATCACGTAGGACCGCTCCAGGCCCAGGTGCTCCCGGTGCACGAACTTTGTCCGCCCCACGGCGTGGGCGGGGGGCAGCACCCCCGGGGTCAGATTCTTCCCTCGGAACCCTTTCAGGTACTGCACGATCTCCCTGTTGGTCTTCAGGGGGAAATCTTGCCCGCAGGTGTTGATGACGTACTTCCAGGGGACCTGGGAGGCCACCAGGTCTCTCAGGCAGTTCAGGTCGGCCTGGAGCCTGGAAAACCCTGCATAGACCACGGGTTCCATCTTGGAAGCCAGGAAGGCGTTGGAGAAGCAGCTCAGCAACCGCTGCACTGAGCTTTTAAATTCCACGGTTGCCTTTTCATCCACGTGCACGCAGTAGACATTCTGAGGCATGAAGATGGCCCTGAAGAGCCTCGCAAAGGTGTCAAAATTGTGATGGATGACCATGACGTAGGCCAGAGGAAACTCGGCCTCTTCCTGAGACAAAGGGGCCGTGATGTAGTGCGCCTGGGTCAAGTATCCCTTGCAAGAAGGCTTCTCGGAGATCACCAGCTTGCTTCTCCACAGGAACGGGGTTTGCCCGCTGGCAAAGGACGCGCAGACCCGGGTCAGCATCAACGTGTCCGAGATGTTTGGCCTCTGGTAGCTCTGATCACCCCCAAAGTTGAACACATAGAACACGATAAAAACGATGACGGTAGAGACAGAAGCTATGAAGAGACAACGCATGGACGAAGACATGCCGAGTGTCGACGTCGCCCGAGCCTGTAACTGGCTCGCAAACGTACTCCTTCCTCCTCTTTCCGCATAGCTCCCGTCACTCCAGCCCCGAAGGACGCTCTGGGCGCGGATTCCTCTTCATCCTGAGATCGCAGCCGGCTGCCTCTGTCCCGGGGCTGAAGTGAGAAATCGATCAGCAGTCTCCTTTGTGTAAACCCGGGGCAGGTGGCTAAGCCCAGCCCTCTGCTCCTCCTCTCCTCCCGGTTCGCACCTCCCAGCTGTTCGCTCCAACTCCAACTCCAGGAGCCCGCCGCAGGCTAGGTTTCTCGCCGCTCTTTCTGTTTCTCTTTCTCTCTTCCGTCACCCCTCCCGTGGTCACGGAAGGCAGAGCCCGAGCCGTGAGCGATGGGCTGAGACCGGCTTGTGGCTTCCTGCCGTCCCCGCGGGCTGGGTCCCGCCCCTGTGTGGCTCCCGCAGGGATCAGCGGCCTGGCGGAGGCTGCTCCCAGCCACCCACCAGGGACAGAGCTTGGGCTCCAAAATCCCGTCCCTCCATCCTGTTGCAGAGGGCGGGGTGCATCCCCGGGCCCAGACGTGCAAGGCCCACTCCCGAGTCAGCCACAGGATGCAGGGGTCAAAGGACCCAGTACTGAGCTGCATCCTCTGCCCCAGGCCTCACAGAAAGGACCTGGAATTACAGCTACAAGGGTCTTCACCACCCAGGAAACGCTGGCGATCTCAAAGAAGTGACACCTGGAGATGAGCATATCCGGCATTTAGAATACCATGTGGCCTCTGGAGCACCATGCTCTTTAATTCTTTAATTGTCATTCAACCTCCAATTTTCCTTTGACTTTATCTCTTAATGAAATATGGGTGATTACTTTTTACTTAAAATGGCTTTTTCCCCCCCTGGAGTTTTGAGACAGTCTTGATATATAGGGCAGGCTGGTCCTGAACTCACTACATAGCCCACGCTGACCTTGAACTCACGGCGATCCTCCTGCCTCAGCCTCCTGAGTGCTGGGATTACAGAAATGTGCCACCACGCCTGGCTGTAAAATGACTTTTTTAAAATGCCAGTTGACCCACCCCACAGCCTGATTTCCCTTTCCCCTATTTTTGTGAACACTGACTCAAAGTGGAAACCCAGCACTGCTGCACCCTTCCTTCCTCCCAGTTCATTCTCTTCTTTTTGAACTCTCTGCCTGCTATTAATAGACTCTGTAGTCAACGCACTGGTTCCCTCTTTTCACTGCATGACTAAAACCAGCGCCCTGGTCAGGCCCTGCTCCAGCAGAAGCCCACACCATTTCCTGAGCTCTCCGTGTCTGCATTTCTCCACTTTGCCCATATGTTCTTTTCTTTCTTTTGCACTAACTTTTTCTACCCTGATGTGAGCAGGACAGAAGCTGCCTAAGCTTACGGTTGCTCCGAGGCGGCTGGTGATAACCGAGCCTGCCCAGTGTGTTAACCACCAGGCCTGCATACCCAGAAACTTATCTTCTGCACTCTTTCAAGAAACTTAAAAATATAGTTTTAAGAAAACATTTATATCATAGAGGAATATGTTTTCACCACCGTGGGATCAGCAACGCCACTGTAAGGTCACCCGTGTTTGCACCCATCTCCACGCCACGTAGAGGGGAAGCCTCTCAGTGCTGGTGCTGCTCTTTGCAGAGCTACGTTCCAGCCCTGTAACTGGCTGTGACCGTCATTCCCCACTGTCCCGGTGTCCGGATGGCAGTGAGTCCTGGTGCTGCCTATCGGCCCCCGTTTCTCAAGGCGTGTTGGCCAGGTGGAAGAAAGATCCTGCACCCTCAGCGCCACCTCCCGCTTCCAGCTTCTGCTGTGGTAAGCTCCTCTATGTCTCACTGTAACTGTGATAAATGCTCAATAAACCACTGCATTTGGGTGATCGCTCGACTCCTGGGGTCTTTGTTGGGCAGATGGGCTGACTTCCTTCGGCTTCTCTAAGCCCCCGGGTGGCCTAAGTCAGAGGGCTTTGAGTGTGGCCTCCGTGTCCACTTGTGACATGTACCCACCACAGACTCTCTATGTAGCCCACCCCTGGATTTTCAGGCCAAATAGAAAAAAGAAAAGTAGATCAATCTAATTCAGGCTGGGTTTAAATGTGAGATCCTCCTGCCTCAGCCTCTTAGAATGCTGAGATCAGAAGTATGCATCACCACAACTGGCTAATCAATCTACTACTTAACATCTTTAGTGGAGTCAACCAAAAAGAAGGACCTTATATACCTGATAGAGGAAAATTCAAGCTTCTCTTTTGCCAAATAACACTTTAAAATATTATTATGTCTGCTATTCCTAAACAACAGAGAGTAACGTCAGTGTCTTATGTGGCAAAGCCTCTTGGCTTGGAATATTAAAATATTTTCAGCTTGACAGAGTATTCGGCGTACAGACACATGAGTTAATTAAGGCCACAGAACCTGATTCCTCTTTCTGTTTACAGATGCCCAGGACACAGGCAACAGCCAGAGCACTAAGCACTGGCACAGTCAAATAGGCACTTGCACTGCAGCTCTGCATCAAGCCCACACCTCGAACAGCGCTATTGGCTGGGAAATATAACTGTTTTCCTTTCGGTAATTCTCCCTATTCTTGAATCAACTTCCCCTGCCAAAAAATCTCTACAAAACTTTTTAGGAAACCGCTTATCAAGCTAGGAGTGGTGGCACAAGTCTGTCTGGGCGGCATAGTGAGTTCAAGGCCAGCCTGGGCCCAAAAACAAACAAAAGACTCTTATCAAATTAGACTCTGCGATTACCTCTCCTTCCTGATAGGCCATACAACCTGCCTGTCCGGAAGGGACACAGAGTTGTTTTGTTTTATTTTGTTTTTGTACCTGGGATTGAACTCTGGTCCTTGTGCTTGTGAGGCAGGCGGCGGAACCACTGAGCTAAACCCCCCAGCCCAAGAATTGTTTGTTTGTTGTTGTTGTTTTTAATCACAGTCAAGGACAAAATTGACACTAGTAAGCCCAGCGACCATGCCTGGTCCCTTGTTTTGGAAGCAGTGATTCCAGAGCTACCCAATTAATCAGGCCAGACACAATCCCCATTCCCTGGGGCCACCGTGAAGCCTTTCTCTTTAATATATTCAGAAGTCTGGTGTTCCGTACATGAAAATTTATCCACTTGTGAATATATGTAGAACCCAGCTCCAAAAAAAGAAGACACAGCCTTTTCTGGGCATGGTGGCACATGCCTATAATGCTAGCACTGGGAAGGCTGAGGCAGGAGGATTACCACAAGTTTGAGGCCAGCCTGGGCCTGTGTGAGTTGAAACCCAGCCTGAATGATATTAAATAAGACTCTATTGAGAGATAGACAGAGAGAGAGACTTTATTTGAAACCACAGAGGCCTACAAATCTCAGTGGAGGAAGGGAAGGAGTGTTTACCCCACAGGCTGGTGACACAGCTTTGACAGGGGCCAGCCTAAGTCAGCTTGTGAGGGAGATGGAAGAGACTTGGCCAAGATGAAAGAGATGGCCTGTTGTTGTATTAAAAACAAAACGAAACTTGCACTTTTCTTGGCCACAGAGGACAAGGCAGAGACTGAGGTCAAGGAGCGCTTCTGGCAGCCGGCTGCCAAAGGCTGGCCTCCTGCGCCTTTCCTCCTACCGCCCAGGCACCAAAGCACACCTTGTTACACTTGCATAATTGTTCTGGGACTTGTTTCTCCGCTCCCCATTAACGACCATCCTTAACTGGGGAAAGGGCTTGAGAGGCCTCAGGTCTGCAGAAATGCCAGGCTGGTACAGTCAGAGGGCACCAAGGGAGCTAAGGCACACGGGCGGAAGGGCCAGGCCCGGAGAGAGGCTTTCTCCTCGTGGCTTTTCTGTGGGGTCGGTGGTATCAATGACCATGGGGTTCATTCTTAATTATTGACTATGGGGGAGGGGACAGAGACGGGGGCAGGGGGGGGGGGAGGTCATGGGGTTCATTCTTAATTATTGACTATGGGGGAGGGGACAGAGACGGGGCAAGGGGAGTGGGGGGAGGGAAACGAGATGTAAAGGGAGCGAAGATGCGCTCTGACCCTGTACAGCTCCCCACCAGCAATGTCCTCATCAGGAACTGCGGACAGGCACTAATGAAAGCAAAAATTGAAGTTAAAAGACAAGGACTTTTTGTTTAATACATGCGTGAGTAGAGCACGTGGGCGGGATAACTCACTTTCAACAGCGAACTTGGTAACTCCGTTCCAGGTGGCCCGATAATTTGACATTGGTGCCCTTACTGTATTTCAGTTTTGAACGGCAATGATCGTAACGCCCAGGAGGAGGAGGAAAAGAGCATTTCCAAAGCACACCTTTAGCTAAGACAACAATCCTTCCATGCCTCAGAATTCCCCAGTGAGCTCCACTGGGGAGAATCCCCCTCCTGGGGCCCAGTCATTTCACTCTCTCCACCTTTCCTCTCCTAGCAACAGAAGAAGTTGTTATCCAGATCCAGAAACCAGGCAGGACTTTGAATTCCCACCTCAGCATATTGAATGTGCCTAACCTTAGAGACTCCTGTCCCCGGCACAGCAGACTAAGCCACCTCCCTGAGTTGCACCTGCTTTCGACGCTGCAAAGGCACCAGGGAAACACCTTCTGGATGCTGAATCGTTTATGCAAATACTCGCAAGCGACAATACACAAAGTTTTCCAATAGGCAAACGTCAAAGCACACGCCCGGGTGGCAGTCTCCCTGAAGACATTCAGAAATGAGAACTGGGAAGATGCGCCTCTTAGCAAATGAAAAATAATTTAGTAAGTACCGAACATCGGTCACGGCCAGGTCTCACTTCAGGATGAGACTCATCTCTGAACTTGCGAGGAGGGACTGTTTAACTGTGGGAGGGGAAATGGTTTTGTCGCCACGCCACCGCATTTCTTTCCACAAGTGTTCGGCCAAATTGGGTGTTTATGGAGCTCGGGGAGGAAGAGAGTCCAGATTGGTGGTCTGCAGACTCTAGCTCCACATCTCACCGCCTGGAGGGGACCCCAGGAGCTCAGCAGGCTGAAGGTTCGGCTGAAGCGCCACAGGCTGTTCCAAGACTGCGCTGATATCGTGGATCCCTGGTGCAAAGTTTGAGAAATTCTTTGCATTTCAACCCCCCATGGCCTATTTCCTATGATTAAACAATACTATGTAAGAAAAAG